CTCAAATTTGTAATTAAAATATTTTTTAACATCTTAGCTATGTCACAGGAGATTTGGAAGATTTGAGTTTGGTAGGATTCAAGAAAAAGCCTGGTGTAGACATTTCCTAGTCAAGCATCAGCCATTCCCTGTCTCTTAAATGTCTGACTTTCTTGACTTTTTATAGCATACCTTCTCCTGGTTTTCCTCCAGGCACATTATAATTTTCTAATTTTATAATTACAATTTTCTAACTTGATAATGTTCTCTAATTATATTTTGGGGTCTCTTTATTTTAATGTTTTCATATCAACTTCATCTGTCACTAAAGTTTTGTACCCAGCACATAGTAATCCCTTAGTATATGAGAGAGGCTTCAAAAAGTTTGTGGGAAAATTCCATGACCGTTTATTTTCTTCTTTCCACTAACATTTGGAAGCCCTACCATATATATGTTGTGTTGAATGAAAATTTACTTTAAAATAAAGCTGTATCTCTAGTCCTGATAGCTAATGTTGTTGCTAGGTACCGTCAAGTCAGTTTCAACTCATAGAAACCCAGTACTCAACAGAATGAAACACTGCCTGGTCCTTAGCTATCCTCACAATTGTTGTTATGTTTGAGCCCATTGTTGCCGCCATTGTGTCAATTCTGAATGGCTAACCATTCAGCAGCATCCTAGTGTAGTGCTATGGGTTAAGGTACTGGACTGCAAAGTCAGTTCAAGCTCACCAGCTGCTTCTAAGAAACCCTATACAGGGTCGCTATGGGTCAGAACCAACTCAACAGCACTTAACTACAACAGCAACCATTTACGAGTGGTCTGCCTCGCTTTTCTAATCTGTCTTAATCTGGTGCAAGCTCTGCTGAAACCTGTCTACCATGGTGACCCTGCTGGTATTGAATCACAGCAACACACAAGCCACCATGGTATGACAAACTGACAGACAATTGGTGGTGATCATTAATAAGCTTTATAATATCTAAATTGTCTAACTACCTGTTGATCAGCTCTGCCAGAAAATCTAATAACCATCAAAGTCAACATGCCTGAATCCCTCCCCCTTCCTAAATTCCCTAAAAATTATCATCACCATCATCTACTAAGTCATCAAGGTGGAAACATAGGAATTAATTACACTTCTTCCATCCTTTGTCTGCCCTATGCACTTTGTCACAAAATCCTGTTGAGTGAGTTTGTTGGTGAAATGTCTCTCAAATTCTTTTTAAAAAACAACAAACAAACAAAAAAATTTGAAGAAGAAAAAAAACAAAAAACGTTTTATTGTGAATTGGGTGAAGGTTACACACCAGATCAGTTTTCCTCACATTCTCTTTCTGCAACTTCTATCATTGCTGCCTAGTCCACGCCATCATTTCTTGCCTGGACTTCTTACAATAGCCTCCTAGCTTGCGTCATATTCCATGTTACTTCCAGAATTACCTTACTAAAACGTAAATCTGTACATAGTAACACCTTTGACATCCGGTTTCCTATATTATAAATGCATTCAGTATTTTCATAGCCTCCTAGATTGCCACAACTGCCACATGTCCTGCATTTTAGGAGCTATATCCAATAACATAACAATTTCCATAAAAACTATAAAATCCTCATTTCTTTTTCTTTTGAGGCTGATCCTGCTCTTTGTCTTGCTGGAGTGCACCTACTCTCTTTTAGCTAAAGCTACACAGCTAACATATGTCCTCTGTCCCAGTACCTATATAACCTATATAACACCTATGGTGTTAAATTTTGATGGTTTCTGTTTCTCACACTAGACTGTCAGATCATGCTGGTTTCCTTTCAAGAGTGCAGGTTCAGCAAAGGACTGAGGGTTAGAAGCCAAATTCTGATTTTTAATGAAGTCATGGGAAAATATAAAGTAGAAATAATGAGTACACACCAAAATTAAAGAGTTTAATGGGGGCAAAATAGAAATAAAGTGAATAACCATATGAGGTAAAAACCATTGAAGTATGTTTAAATTTTTATCCTATTAAACTGTTTGAAGGACTCATGAAGAG